TCTCGACGCATGTGACGGGGTGGCATGTGTCTGGCAGAAGTCCCAGAGAAAGGGTCGATTCTGGAGGGACTGTCAATTCCCAAACTCATGTTTTTGGAGTTTTTCGTCGCGCTGAGGCAGGTGCCCAAAAAGATCCGAAAAGGCATGACGCTGTTGGGCGCGACAATGGGAAGGTGTGTACATGGACATGCCTCTATATATTTGCGAGGTGCTTGCATCGTCACAAGGAATACAGCAACAAAAGGATGGTCCCAAAACGGTGGCTTTGCGGCGCTTGAGGGCCTGGATGTTGATGCCAGACTGCAAACCTACTTTGTTGATGCTGTGGGTGCCGTATGGTGTAGGAGTCTCAGACACAGTAGCAACTCGCAGTGGCTGCCCGACGCTATCTTTTTCAGTCTTCATGCCGCGAGTTCGATTTACTGAAGTGAACCCGTCACTGGTGGATACGCATGGACGGCCCATGAACCTTGAGATAGACCTCGGCTGAGCAAGCATTCCATTGCATCTCGAGACGGCGAACAGATCTGCATGAGGAAAGCTCGAAGAAAGAAAACAGCTCGACACGTCAACCAACCGCAAAAACTCGGCAGGGTCATCTTTCTCTCACCATGCCCACGGGAACTGTACAATCCCGGCGACAAGCCCTTCTACATGGTGCAACATGGCACCCATGGCTAATGGATGTCAATGTGGGAGTCTCGCCGGGGTCATCGAGGCTCCTCTGGAGCGTTTGTGCTTGAAACAGTTGGAACAGGCCTGTAAGGTAGTGAACGCATGTGGAAACATCCACAGGGCTGTTCGGAGCACCACCTCCAGAAACGGCTCGTGTAACCCTCAGAGACACTTCGGGTAATTTCCCGACTCTCCTGGGCCTGAGAATCCTCAGACTGAGGGATGCGGGCTTCTCTCGGACTGTAGCTTTCAATGCTTAAGATGCTGGCAACTGAGCCAGCTGAGCCTGTGGAGAAGGCATCCTCATTGTCTGCAATGTCACTGCATATACTCGAGTCTCGACCATCGGATAAGCCACCAAGACTCATTGCATCCATGCGGTCACATTCGTGCACGCACTGTCGACGGGTGAGCTCCATGTCCTCGGTATTTTGAAGCTGCTCTGCAACTCGCTGGGCCCTCTGGTAGGCTTTTTGAAGGGCGAGGACATAAGATTCCTCGACGCCTTCCAACGAGCTCAGCGCCTGCGACAGCAGAAGAAGCTGCTGTGTCTTCACGTCTCGGGCAGCAATCAAATTTCTTTGTTGGAGGTGCTCGGCGACCTCGCGTTCGAGATCCGCAGCACGGCGGAGCGTGAACATTGCCTTCACTGCTGGATGTTCCTGGGCTCGCCCACGGTCAGCAGTGGTCGTCAACTCCACGGCGCCTGAGAACTGCACGGTGGCTCCGTCCCTCAGATACGATAGCATCCACTCTGCAGCCCTGATGCTCCTGCCCGGTCCAAAATCTCCGGGCGGAGAGCTCGTAAGCTCCAGCAGCACCATGCGTTCGTTGTCCGCATGCAGATCCCCCAAATGCAAGAGTCCTGTGCTTGCGCTGGACACTTCGTCGTCCTCGTCATCGCCCCCATAGACCTTGTCAACGACGGTGTGCATGCCCCCACGGATATCCAAAACAGCTTCACTGCCAAACAGCTTCAAGAGGTCGTGGATGGATTTCGAAACCAATCGAGGAATGTCAGGGGCAGTGGCAAGAAACGTGTATCGACCCTTGCCAGCTTCGGCGATTCCACGCATCAAGGGCTCGTCAAAGTCCGCTCCGATTCCAAACGTCGCCGTGGTTATGCCCAACTCAGTCCAAGCAGCAACTTCCCTGCAAATATGCGCTGGGTCTGTGACACCGGAGTTCACACATCCATCACTGAAAAGAAAGATACGCTTGACTTTGGCGTCGTCTGATGAACTGAGCAGATGTGCAGCAGATTGAAGACCTCCGAAGAGGTTGGTTGATCCACCAGGTCGCACTGCATGGATCTGGGTCTTGAGATTCTCTTTTCCAATCTCCGACAGGTCACCATCTGTGAAGACGGCTTCGCTTTCCTGGTCATAAGTGATGAAGTGGAGCGTATCCTGAACGTCCAAGTGCTTCACAAGCTTCGCGCAGGCACGCTTCGCAAATGCCAGTTTAGCTCCCCGCATGGAGCCGGAACCTGTCATTTCAAGATGACGTCACCCAGACTATTCGAAGGAAAGTGTCAAAACTCAGTAGCCTCTGCCGAGAAGCGGTCCAAGACACATGCCACCTCTATTGGCGCACGGCTCGCGGAGCTTGCAAGGGGCGGCGTCTTGATACAGATCAGAGTTCGCACGGTGTTGCGCGCCCCGCAGAGGAGGGTCTTGCCTGACGTCGTGCAAAGGAGAACAAGAAAGGGTACCCCGTTTACCTGGACACTAGAATCACTCGAACTTCACTAGACGCGGGCGCAAATCTGGGCAGGTCGCACTCTGGAAGAACTGCCAAGTCCAGCTGGTCTGCCTCTGCACGTGGAATTGCTTCCGCCTCCGGCTCTGGGGACGCCATTTGAGAACTCCTCTGAGCGACTAGGACGGCACTAAGCTTGTCGAGGCAAGCTGTGTTCAACACCTGGGTTTGAGCCAATCGTGCTACATTCCGGATCATTTCGCTGAGTACTAAGTAGCTACAGTGCTGCCGCTCCAAACACAGAGAACGAATCACAATTTGTCCTAAACTTGAAGCAGATGCTGGTGTCTTGTGTTTGGCAAACACTCTTCCATAAGACGGTGGACTCACCTGATTCTCGAGAGGGTTGCTCTCCGGCGCCTGTACAACAACCTAAGCCTCGACCAAGCTGCCTCTACGGCCTCTACTCTCGGGAGCATCGGTGTCATGCTAACAAGGACGATTGCGCTGGGCTGTAGCAGCACTGGACAGTCTTGACTCCTGCCTGGGCCACCCTCCTCAACCGTGTTGGAGTCCCAACAGCTAGATGCACTTCTGAGCACCTGACCTCACCATCCAAGAGTAGCTACTCCATCGGGGGCAGGGGGCTACGATCCAACGAGATGCACCGATTCCTCTTGCCTTTTCAGCTGGCTCTCTTCGCGGTGCGGCCGTCTCAGCTGTGACCAGGATTCAGCGTCGCTCGCCGAATAAGGACAGGAGATGCAGAAACAGGTTGATGATATCCAAATAGAGATTCAGGGCAGCGAAGACATAGTCATCGGGGTCGATGGCGACCTTGTGACCTCCCCATTCACCCAGCATCATCTGTGTGTCGAAGATGACAGCGAAGGAGAACACGAGGACGCCCAAGCAATCGTAGATCATCGTCGATACTGTGATGGGTACGCCGAAGAGCGGCAGGAGCCCCAGGAGGAGTCCGAAGATGAAGAGCGTGAGGAGACCCGCAAAGAGGTAGGGCGCAGAGCCCGTGAAGTCTGTGGTCGTCTGGAAGGCGTAAGCCGTCAGGGCAACAAAGATTAGGGTGGTCACGCCTGCTGCCAGAAGTAGACTTTCCGGTGTGAACATAGCACTGACTACACCGATGGCCATTGCCTCGAAGGCAGTGAATGTGAAGAGGAAGAAGTAGTTGGTAGGATATCTTCTCAGTTGCTCGCGACAGCACAGCATAACGCACATCACTGAGAAAGTGCCTAGCACGGAGACCAGAAGGAGCCACTCGTGGCTCATGATCCAGGATGCCACATCGCCTGAAGCTGCGGCCAACAAGACGATCTCTGCAGCAATCAGCACGGTCATGGCCAGTTGCGCGGAGAGGATCCCATAGACCTTCCTTACGAAACCCCTCCTAACGGCTTTTCCGGCATTCTTCAGAGAGAGGTTCCCCCCGCCGCGCAGCAAGCCCTCTCCCTCCTCCTCATCGAGCTCCTGCATCGCATCGAGGCTCCCTTCGTCCGTTCGGTTTCGAGAGTAGCCCCAGAACCCTTTCGGCTTGGGCCTAAAGAAGTGGCGGCGTGCAATGAGCTCACGCCGGAAGCCTAACTCGGGCGACGATTCGGGGGAGCTGGAATCAAATCGACAGTCCAAGTCTGCATCCGAGTTGCCCTGCCCCCAAGGGCCACAGACTGGCATCCCAGCTTGAGACGAAAAGACTTGCAGTGAGTCTTGCATGCACCCGGCAATCCTCTGCGCTCCCAAGCTCCGAAAATGTCACCATCTTGCGGGTGTGACGAGCCTAGTCCAACCGGAAGTTCCCGGTCACGACTTTTCTGCAATTGCAATGCTTGGTGGGACCGACGAGGGACAATGTGGACAGGTCTGAGGTGTCCGCACTGGCCCGGCTGCAACGGCACGGAACTCTTCCGATGCTGAGAAGCTGCATACGGTTCCAGATAACAAAAAACTGTGATCCTGCACAACGGTTTGTGTCATTTCGTGGCCCGGCAGTGGTGCGATCCACTGAAAGGCCCTTTTAAGGGAGACGTGCAACTTGACAAGCGTGCCAATGCGATCCTGCTTTGACTTCCTCTCTCCCCAACATCACGAAAACGGGAGCTTGCACATCTCCCTCGTGCACCGAATTCAGTTGGGCGTTCTCAGGGTTTCCATGATCTCGCATTTTCAATCTACGGCTTCGGGCTACTTTCTACCCCCCGAACAACTGATGCCTCTGGATACCCACTGACACGGCATGGTGGGCACAAAACTTGCACAGTCATGTCCACCCCTTCTCTTCCAGGCAACCCCCGTAACATCAGCCAACTGCTCCTTTCAAATTTGGGGCACCCTTACCCAAAGATTCAGCCTTGCTCTGCACTCGATCTCAATCTTTAGCAACTGGGTCTGCTTCGGGTTTCGACGATTTCATAGCAAGGTTTGGAGCCTGAGGGAACCCGGATCGAACCCCAACCTTGCAGCGAATTGGCCGCATGAGAGCGGCATGGTTCGGCGACAGCGGCGTGCTGTGAAGTGGAGAATAGACTCCAACTGAAGCTATCTTTCTTCAGCACGCGGCCGGTATGACTAGACACGTCTTGTGGCTCCTAGGCAGAAGGCGAGGCTTCTTAGCGCCGAGGGCCTCGACAGGCTTCACGACATCCGGCACATGTCAAGGCAGGCAAGTCTCAGCAACGACATGAAGAAATCGCTGCGACCGTCTCTCAGCATCATCAAGACTATGCTGTCTAAGCACGGTCACTGCATCAGAATCATGACCACGGTGATGAAGCAAAAGGTGACGATGACACCGATGATGCTGTTGATGATGGTGGTGCTGCTCGTGGCGACAACGAAAACGACGAGTGGCAGGAGGCGGCAGTCCGCGGTGCTGATGCCGATAGCTACGATAGTGGGTGGGGCACGAAAGCAAGCAATATCTTCGTCACCATCGTGACGATTCTTCCGGTGACTACGACCCTGCTCTGGCAATACATGTATGCTGCATGCTGTATACCTTCTGGTCAGTAGCAAAGCAGAAGATCCAAGGATGGCACCAAGGTGGGATCGCAGCTGTGCAGCCTGAAGCCGGTTGCCGGGTCCAGATCAACTCCAGGGTCGGAAAGCTTGGCGTTTTACGGAGTTTGCCTAGCACTGGACCGCTCCAGGAGCCAAGATCCCCGGGCCACACTTCAATCTACCCGTACTCCGCCGTCCCCGCCTGTCCCCGCAAGCATTACGTGATGCTTTTGAGTTGCGTTCGGCTCGGTGCCTCGTCTGGCCGGCGCACATGCAGCCGGGCCTCGATCAAGCATAAGTCTGCAGCAGCCACGTGTAGCAGAACGAACATGGACCTGTTTGTATGATCAGCATTAGAATGACGCTGCTGATGATGATGATCGACAATGCTCTGACCTGCTCTGAGCAGTTTGGCGCTGGCCTCGGCAAGCTCACGGCGCGCCTCCTCCGCCTCACAGGGCTCTCGTAAACTTTAGGGCGTAGTAAACTGGTGAGTTTTTTAGGGTCTTTGCATGTCCGGGCCCAGGCCTTCGCCTCGGCTTCTCTGGCGCGGCGCTGGGAGTCCTTCCGAGCTGGCCCAAGGCATGGCAAGGCACATTCAAGAGCTCTCTCCCCTCTCGGTCTCTCGGGTCCTGCAGACACTCGCCCATGCCGCGTTGGAGGCTCTCCAGCGTTAGGATGCGGTCCCGGAGTTGCGTCACCTGAATTTGAGCCAGGCTTGGATTCGGGAAAAGCGGCAATCCAAGACGATCCGATCCGAGCAGCTTCAACAGACAGAAGAAAAAGGAACGGAGGGACCGGGAGCAATGCCTCGGCAACTTCCTCGGCGAGGCGTTGGATGCGGGAGGCCTGGTCCTCTCGACTTGAAAAACACAGAGACGGTGCGATGACAGGAAGCCAAGCAAAAGGAACCTCCCCAATTTCAAAGGATGTTTAGTTTGACTCCCCGTGACCGCGCTGCTCCGGCTCCTGGTTCCTCGCCTCGCCTTCGGCTCCGATGCGCTCCAAGTCGTACCGAAGCGCAGCATTGGCCACCTGAGGCCAAGGGAAGCTTGCAATAGGTCGTCGAAATAACACGCGCCTGTGACACTTCCTCAAATAAAGCAGAGAGCCTTCTCGGCGCTCCTTTACACAAATGTTCGAAGCCAAGAAACCAAGTCATGAAAAGCGAACCCTTACTCATAAGCTGACTCTTACACTTCCCAGAGACCTTAGGTCGCACTGCAACGTTAACCAAACCCTAGAAGGACAAGAACTGAATCCTTACTTCGCCACCCCAAATCCCCAGATCTTGCAAAGACCACGGCTGCACCCGTTCAAACCCTTAAAACCTGCGGAGGCTGGGCCGTCGAGCGGGTCGATGCATTCGATATCATTCGATTTGAAGCCCAGGCAGTTGTGGAACCCCAAACCCCTTGTATCAGGTTGATGAAGCCGACCAGAGCACTGGCCTCCTCCTCCTCATGCGGCAAGCTTGTCAGTCCACCACTTGCTGACCAGAGCTATTGAATCTGCAATCCCCTAAACCCGAACATTCCTCACCGGACCGCCATGAAGACACCCTTCACATACTAGCGAGCTCTTCTGACTCTTCTTCTACAAGCCCCCAACACCGGAGTCGGGTGAGTTTTCGGCATTCAGCTGCCAGCCCTGCGCCATTTCCGTCGCTGAACGTCAGCCGAGCCCCTTGCCTCCAGTTGAGCAACGCGCTCCCGCTCCATTGCCAGCTGCTCCTTGCGACGATTGACATAACAGCGGCGATTGTCAAGCTTCCGATTCCAGTGGCGCTTTCAGAAGGAACTAAACTACGAGCTCCTCCGTTCCTGTACAAATGTAATCGGAACCTTCGATCCCGACAAATGAAAGTGGAGAAAGCCTTCGTTCATCCACGCATAGAAATGTAGTACATGTATCTAGATTCCAGATGCACCCATCTGCCTTCCCAATATACTCAGGCAATGTGTTCTTGAGGCTCGAGGGATCAAACGTCTCGAAGGGCCCTTTACTTAAGCAGCAGCGTCGGCGCCTTCTTGAGCTGCATCTGCCGCCTCAACTCGCCCAGACTCTCTGCGAGCTCCTGACGAAAGCGCGATCTTTTTGGGGTCGGTCAGAAGTCCAAAAATCCGCCGAAGCCGAAGAGACGGGGTGTGGGCCTCCTCGCCCTGCTTCTGCGCTGCACGCCGCTCCTCCTCCTCCCGCACGGTGCCTGAGCTCAGCACATGGCGACAGACGACAGAAAAGCGGCACGGCCCACAGCCCTCGCCAAGTTTGGGGCCAGCCAAGGCTTCATTCAACCGACGCACCTGCCGAGTCGATGGAGCTTTGATGTTGCTTTGAGTCCTCTGTGCACAGAGTCCACCAAACTAAGTGACATGTTGCAGATGGACAAGCGCGAGCACATTATGAAATGACGGATGCGGGACCTTGAACTTGCGACTGAGGAATCTGCCCAGGCTCCGAAATCACCACCCCAGCCCAGACCGCACCTCTTCTTCCAAGGACCGTGCATGGCTCAGGCTGGCCGCCAGCTCTGCCTGCATGGTCACAGCATCTGAATACAGCAGCCCGTGTGGCCTCTCGAGGGAAGGGCACCTTCAGCTCTTCCGCAGCTTTCTTCGCAGCCTGCGTGGCTGAAGGCTCGGCCACAGCCCTCGTGGCGGCTTCGCGGAGGTGCGAGCACTTGCTTCGATGCAAACAGGGTGGCTTTGCTTGTTCGCGTGCGATGGTGCCTTGATAGAACTCAATTCTCAATCGTGCAGGCTTCACACTCTTCGTCTGTCTCAGTGTATAGTACAGATGACTGTCGGTGTTCCGACATGGCTTGACAAAACTGCAAGCTACCAGACAAGCCGCACTCGGCCTCTCTGACGTGTGAGCATCGTGTCCGACCCGTCACGGTCCACACTCTTACTCTTGAAGTCACGCCCGAACGGTCTACAATAACTGGTACATGGAACGGTCACGAGGAGGGGCTCTGCATCACACATTCTGGAGTGCCCGAGTCGGTGGGGCCTCTTCCGCCTTCTTGGTGAGCTCCAGCTTCGCTGCCTCCTGATCCAATAATACGAGTATCTGTGCTTCAGCTGAGCTTCGGGAAACTCATTTGGAGAGATCTGAGTGACATCCCGGTTCGGAAAAAGATCCCAGGCCAGCACCTGCTCCTTGAACTTGCGGCTTCGTTCTTTCAGCATCCCGGCGGCCTAGTCGTGGGGACTCAACAACATCGGGCTCACAGCCAATGGGGTGAGCCATTCACTCGCACACGCTTCAACTGCAACTTCTCTCGAAAAGCCATGGTATGCGCATCAGATGCATGGGAAGGTTTGCTGCGCATGCCTTGTGTGCACTCGCATACGCACCCTCACACACACTTGCAGAGAGAAAAGGAGACAGGGCACTGACAGCAACATCTCTTTATCTGTTCGTGAGAAATAGAAAAAGACTTACAAAGGTTGAACCTGACACGCGTACGAGTCTGGCATGTCTGGCTCAGTGCCTCCTTCCAGTCCTGCTCCTGCTGCGCATGGCGCTCGGCTGTTGAAGCGGCCTTCACCAATAAAACCAGGATTCAGATTCAGATGAACGACTTCGACGGTCGCCGCCTCTTCCTGAAGCTCGGCGATGCGCTGCGATGCCGTGGCAAGCTCCTGCGGCAGGATGTGCCGCAACGAGCATGCAAAGCTCGTCTCAGCCCGTCAGCGCACGCCTCATGCTGCAGCGTCGCCGAGCCAGTACGTGCAGCCAGCTCCTCCGCATTGGCCCGCGGCTTCACAGGCATGACGAGGCAATACTAGACACCTCACCATGCCTGCTGCAAGGGGACATGAGGAGCTTCACGATCTATACCGACGGAGTATACCGTGACCGGATAATCGTATTCGTGTGAGGTGCCCTGACCTTCTCGAGGGACTCCTGTTTGGCGAAGGCCTGCCAGCGATCAGCGATCTGCTGATTCGGTTGGAGGTCGGCTAGATGCTTCAGCGATGAAGAGTCAGGCTGGTGGGTCTTAATTGAAACAAACTTGCCGAAGAAGACATAGGTCCTGAAGATCACGAGGACCAAACACACCACTCCTAAGCCTCCCATGTCGATCGGCTGTTCTGAATGATGCATGGATGGCCTATTGTAAGCAGCCTGAGAGAGTGCATGACACCGCGACAACTAGAACAGCTTTCTGAAACTCACGCACCGGCTCGGATGACGCACTGTCTCCATTGCATGCCGGGTGCGGCGGTGCTTTGCCAGCCTCTGATTTCTGGAAGCAGAACTCAGAATCGTAAGCTGCAAGATTTCAAGATATTCAAATATTCCATGACCTATCCACAAACACTCAAACATCCACGAACCAAGCGATCTTCTTCAGGCTGCTGAGTCCTGATTTCCGCGCGGGTCCCCCCAAACACGAATTGCTCTGCCCTGCGCCAGCAGCTGGAGGAGTCGGTGACTCAGCTCGTGCCAATCTGGCTTAAGATGGGAAGCTTCGTTTCGTGACAGATCGATCCATGAGAAGGGCTTCAATCTTGAATTCACCCGAAGCTGCCCATCTGGAAAACCGGAGACGGTCGTCTCGTTTGAAAAGGGGATTGCCCTTTTTCGAGACGTCCAGGAGCCTCCTCTTTCCGCAGTGTTACGCCAGGCCAGATTTGTTGCCTAGCATTAGCATGTGGTTAGCTTGCGTTCGCCAGCTCCAGCCGGCTAAATCTTAAACGGCTGGCCGCTGCCTGCTTTTTTCCCGCTTTGAAGAAGCCCGTAACAGCACAGTCTCGTGTGCCTGAGGTCTCCGCAAGTTGAAGCCTCGCAGCCTGCGTTGCTTTTCATCTCCCCGTGTCAGGGACTTGAAGTATCCACCAAGCCGCTTAAGATTTCAGGCTGCATTTTATGATTGCATCGCTTTTTGGCCTACGTACGCGCGCGGAACCAAGTTCGTCACACTGCAAGCATCTACGTCTGTCAGGTTTAGGCATCTATGCAGGCGCCTGGCTCACCTGCGTTCCCGATCAAGTTGGATGTACTTCGTGTGCATGCTTGCGCACTAGAAAAGTGTGCTAAACCACGCGAGGCCGTACCTAGGTGCGTGAGTATTTGCTCAACTGGCGTACTGCTACCTCGGCTCTGTGGCTCTGAACTCCAACGAGCTTATTTCTGCTGAGTGCTTGAATGTACAAGGGCTCTCCTTGGCTTCCTCTTTCAAGTTGGCAACTGGGCGAGAAGTTGCTTTGGAGACAAGATGTGCGGAATACGACGGGGTAATCTGGGGCAGATGCTGCCACAGGAAGTGTTGACAAAATGGGGCTCATGCAGGGGCTGTTGGATAAGGTACGTACAGATTTGTGCGGTAGTCTAATTTGTTCCACACCCTGTGCGATGCAACGCTATATGCGTGAAAAACTCCTTATTCGATAACTGAGCGACACGACCGTCACGCACTTCGTTACTTCTGGCTGTGCCTTTTGTGTGCGGGGCGCGGCGCTTTGCTTCGTTTAGAAGTGGGGAAGTGGGGTCCCTGCAAGCAAGGGCACGGCCCTCCTGGCCTGGAGCTTAAGTTGAAGCCCTTCCTACAGATGAAACGCGGACTGCGAGGCGAAGGAAAACCATGCATTCTGCGACGAGTGCGTGCTTTGTCTGCTCTGCAGATTACGCATCTGTACGTCCCCGACGGGAGGTCGCAGTCACATGGAAGGCTATGCACAATGTCCCAGCTCTCTGCCGACCACCGAGCCACTCAGCTCTGTTTCGTGGAAAGGGCCCTTGATTCCCGAACCGCTCGGCATCGTCTCAGAAGCCGATATCGCCCAGGCAATACCTCAGTCGACTCGCCACTGGAGCTGCTTCTCCCCTGCTCCTTGGTCATGACAGCTCGCAGCTTCTAAGGCAAGATTCTCGATATCTGCGCACATGGTGTCGGCCGTGCCCTTCATTCCGACCGGTTGGCGCGCTGCCTGCACTGCGTGCACTGCGGTATCTTGCCGGAGCAAGCTGTGCTGGGATTTCGGGCTGGACAGAGCCTTAAGAAACAATCCTGGGATACGCTGGCCAAGTGTGACGCTCCTTTGCCCCAGCCTTGCTGTCTTCGAAGTTCTCCGGGGCCAAGAGAACGAGGCAACTGGACAGGGAGAAGAGGGAACAAGTCCGGTAACAGATTCACCGACATCATGCACCGCATTTAGATCAGTATCCATCCGGAACCCAATGAAGCATAAGCATCCGGCTGCTCACGCCCAAAGACTGGAGTGTTTCCAACTGAACCTTGAGAGGCCTATTGGATGGGATGTCCAAGGTCAGCGAATCCGAGCAGTCGGATCGTGCTTTGCCAGTCCTGCAGATCTTCAGAACTCTTTCAAGCGAGGCGTCGAGAGGAGGCTTCCGAAAAAGACTTGGAGGTCCAGAGACAGCTCGAGTTGCCCGGCCCACCCCCGCGGCCGCCATAGCGGCGGTCGTCGGAGTTTAGGAGCACCTGCCAGCCTGTCGGAGACGCAGAAGGCAGTGACAGCAAGCCCCAAGTTCCCAAACCAACCCGCGTCTCGGCACAGCGGTAGATCCTCAAATCTCAAGCGCCCCCGAAAAACCCGCAGGCGCGAGCACCAAGCCTCCCCAGTAGGGGCTGCCTGGGCGGGTTAGCACAAACTCCCACTGCATCACCAGTTTGCTTGCGAAACTGATATATCGCACCTTGCTCCGACAGCACACAGATTGCATGCTGAGGCACCGATCGTATACCCATGGTGATACTGGCTCCCGAAATTGAAGACGGCCATGACCTTGCAATGGGACTGAAAGTGAGGGCCATCGAACTGGAGGCAATTTTGGAGTCTATAAAAGTCTAGGTCTGACGACTCGAAGAGCTCTTCCGAGCTTATAGCCAAGCCGCAGGTCTCTCTCCCTTCCAGTGTCGGCAGAAAGCGATCACGCAGGCGCCTGCGTTGTTCTCGACCTTGGCAGAGCCCAAGCCAGCCTAGTCCCATGGAAGCAATGGACACTACTGCCATGCTTTGGTGAATGTGACAACGTGGGGTTCCAAATTCGTACGCACGGTCTTGTACGATCCTCCACGCGGCAAGGATGTCGAACTGAAGCCAGGCCCCGCAACTCTCGTTGAGCCCGGCCGCCCACTCAAAGCTCATCGAGCCAATAGGAAATTGCCGCGTCTGCGGAAAGTCGTCTCCCATGTGAAGAGGACCTCGCGAGATTGCAACAGGTCAGGAACCGAGGAAACTTGGAACAGAAAGGTCAGGAGGTGGCAGCACTGCGGCATAGGCGCGGTGGTGCTGATAGACTCCCAGAAGGTCTGCGAGCCAAACGCAAACTCCTGCCCATGGTGTGCCCCGACGGTGGGGCATAGAGTACTTCGGTGCTGAGGCTTGAGGGGCCATCTTCGGGCCCCTAGAATACAGGGAGGATCAAGGAGGGCTTTCACGGAAATTGTGCTGGGTCGAGTTGGGTCCTTTTCTGTGATCTTCCTCGCCCTCGTGCCAGTCGAGAGACTGGTAGCAGTTCCACTCGCGACCCTGGCCGTATTCCTGTCCTTGCATGGGGCCACGCAAGAAAGCCAAGCTTATGGAGGCTTGAGGGCAGTCGTCGGATCAAAAAGAGCTCGGAGAAACACCTCCCCGCTTCGAAGGTGCCGGGTAGCCAGTCCCCCAAATCCCCAGGCAAGGAGCCCATGAAAAGCAGCGGGCGCCCGGGAGCCGTGGCTTGAAAGCCTGGGTCGCAGAAAGCAGACCCAAGCCAAGCCAAGCCTGCTGCCTTCTTGAGCCATCTGCCCCTGTTTCCCGGCAAAGGGGCCGTAGTAGGCGCAGAGTAAGCGCAACTTGTCGTAGAAGCCAAGTCCATCCTGGAAGGGCTGGGCACGCTACCGCTGCGGAGAATCGGTTGCACATTCCAGTTCGAGAATCAGCCGATATCTTGCGAGCATACACTTTGGGGAGCCTCTTCCTGGGAAGCTCCTAAGGCTCCTCAAAGCCTTCAGAGACCCCCCAGAAACCCGGCCTTGCGGCCCATCTTTTCCACCAAGCTGCCCTTCATGTTCGCCACCTGGTCCGATTTTTACGGGGAAGAGCCTCCGCGCCCCTGGCTACCCCGATGCCTCGTCGTGGGACAGGGGCGAAACGAAGCGCTCGTTCTGCATGTACCTTCCCACCAGGCGAGATCGGCAACCAGGCAAACTTGCCGGGTTACCATTACCGGGCGGAAATGCCAAGGGGCTGAGATCGGAAGGTGAGCTTGCTGTGATTCGAAGGCCTGTTCCAGGCCGGCTCCTGTAGGTGCTCGACACGGAATAGTGGGACATTGGGATCTAATGGAATCCCAAACACGCACAACCCGGATATTCTCCCCAGCCTCGAGGTAGATGAGCGTGTCCTGGGCTTCGGGCGTTTAGTGCCCCTCTCGGTGGGAGACCTGTTTTACTTTCGGCGCTCGGCATGTGTAACGGAGCTGAAGACAAGCTCCGAATGGCATCGATTTTCGGGCCCATTCGGTCTTGCATAAAGTCCTGCCAATAATTTAACTTGCCCAACAGTTTGCCGGGCAGTTCTGTACACTCGATGCAGAGTCGCAAGGCTAAGTCGAAAAAACCACAGGCAATTTCTCCAGCCTACTTGAGCCCCAGCGCAAGGCTTGGCCGCGCGCTGGTCACATGCAACCAAACGATCGACCCGTTGCGGTCTAGCTCGAGCGAGCGCGCTTGGAGGCAGCCTCGGCCACGTTGTCTTCGACCATGCGCTTCGACGCCTTGGAGCACTGGTGCAACATTTTGCAAAGGTCCTCCGCTTCCTGTCGCCTCGTGGCAAGCTGGCGCCGTGCAGTCTCCAGCTCTGCGGCTTGGGCGGCCATCTGGCAGAGTGCTTCCTCCAGCTCTGCCCGGGTCTGCTCGGCCGCTCCGGCTTGGACATGGAGGCGAACGTGAGCTTCGGCATTGGCGAGTGGTACGCGAGCCCCGCAGTGACAGTGTACCAGCTTTGCCCCGAGGCGGTCATCCACCTGCGGGTTTGGGATGTAGCGTTTGCCTTTCCGACGGCAGGTTGGGCACCTCAGACCGTTCTCGGATCCGGGCGGATGGTGCTCCTGATGCATCGCGGCGCAACGTCCGCACAGGCTGTGCCGCGACTCACAGTCGAATCCGGCGTCTGCGAGTCGCATAGCAGGCTCGGCCGGCTCTCTGCAGATTTGACAGAACAGCGCTGCGTCAAGCATGTCCTGCTGCATCCGTTCCAGTTCCCTGGGCGCAAGAAACCGAAAAGCATACCGCCCTTCGCCACGCTGGCCCAGCTCATTTAGACTGTGTGGCAGCATTGGGAAGCTGGGTGTGATTGGCGTGGCCATGGTGCAGATGGCAAGAATGCTCGGCACAAATGCGCTAGCCTGACTCAGCAGGTAAGCCAAAACGTGCCTCTATCGTGAACAGGCACCTGGGGGTTGAGACTCAGCCGTGCTGTTTAACCTCCCTTGGGTGGGTTAGAGGCCCATAAGACAGAAGAAATCTGGTGGCCAGTCTCCCCCGCCTTGGGCCTCGCTACTGGCACAGCTCCCCTCTCAGCTTCCGATCCGAGGAGCATTCATCCAGCCCAGATCCCACTTCAGATCGAAGCCGAGACCAGAGGAGACGTTCCTGTCAGAGAGGAGGCGGGGGGAGGCGTCAGGCTGTCAGGGAGACGTGGCCATCTGCCATGCGTGTGGCTAGGGCGCTACGCTGGTGGATGCAGGTCTCAAAACCTTTTGCGTCCGTTGCACGACCTGTGCTCATTGCACGACCTGTGCTCCGGGACAGCACGAGCTTGCAAGGTCATCTACAGGGATAGATGATTAGTGCCTGCTTCCACAGTTGGGAAGAAGAGAAGACTCGTTTAACCTATTCGGGTGGCATCGCCCTGCTTGGGCGGTATCACCCTTATCAGGTGGCAATGCTTTGCATCGCTGTGTAGAATCAATCACACCTCGGCCGGCTCCTTTCCAAGCTCCACCATGTACTCAAGATGCTTGACCAGCCCACTACCCAAAGATGAGTAGGATCGGTAAGGCAGGCCAAACTCCTGAGCCAGGGGTGTCGGGTTTAGGGCATCTGCGAGGGGACAGAAGCACTGCTTTAGTCGGCTCCTCGGCGACTTCCTTGATGGTCGCCTGCACCGCCTGCTGGTGATTGTAACCTTGGATGTGCATGATCAACTCCTCAGCACCTGACTATGCTTGCCGCACACCGTCGCAAGCATCCAAGGAAAAGCCAGGCGACTCAGCATAGGGAAGAGATGATGCTCGATCTGCATGTCAAGACCGCCGGAGATTGCACTAATGCCCGAATCGAAGTTGGAAGTCGTTGCCATCTGACGTTCCCCCCAATCCGCAGCCTGGCTATAGACGCCTTCGGCTTCTGGAAACAAATGGTTCACGTGAAAGGCCAACATCGTCAGCATGCTCGCTAGCAGCGACGACAGGAAAATTGATAGAAATGCCTTTCGCTTGTTCTTCTGCACAAAGAGCGGAAGCCAGTGTACTAGAAGCACTCCAAGCACGACCCAAGCACAACCCACACGCACGTTGCGGTCATCGTCGACCAAGCGCCAGGATTCTGCTATTAGTCGCAGATGCGGAAAGAACAAACCAATTGCTGCATGGGAAGCCAAGGGAAATGAATGCAGTTGGCTCCAGGCGCTGTTGTTGGTGAGCCTCCACACGGGTATTAGCTGCTGGAGGTTCTCGTCTGGATCCACCAGCGTTTTTGTGTGCAGGTGGTGGAGCAGTACGTGCTCCTGCCACCAGACCTCAAGTGGAAAACCCAAGAAGCCCTCAACCACAGACTTCGCATAGACGTACTGCACGTTTGGCAGTTGTGGCAGGATGCTTCCATGCATGGCTTCGTGTGCAGCACCTGTGAGGACCAACCGAGAAATGAGATTCAAGACACATGCCACTGGGGAGAAGGAGCGAAATGAAATCTGGTACCACGTGCCGGTGAACATCAACATGTTGAAGCTCACCTTTGCAAGAATGGGGATGTTGGCCTGGCGTGGCTTCTTCACCCCCAAATCTTGCAATTTCTCGCGTACGCGAGACCTGAGGGTCATGTAGAAGCCCGTCTCCTCAAACTGGTAGTCGTAGTCGCTGTCAAGGACCTCGCCGACCACGTCCTCGGAAGCCACCTCGGACATGAAACCAAACTGGGAAGCTTCGGCCCCCAGGGCCCCCCCGGGACCCCCCCCCCAACCTGGTACTTCTCCAGGGCAACGCGAGGGTTGTCGGAAAGGTGTTGTATCTGGAAGAGGATGGATGCATCCGTTCCCATGGTCTTCTCCAGGGGCAGCTTAGAGCCAGGATGCCTCCGCTTTTCATAACTTCAGGAGCACAACAATGAAGCCAATAAGATCTACAGTCAAGCAAAACACACGAGATCAAAGTTCCGCAACATTCCTACTAGGCCAGGGTACCTCGAAAATAGTGGACGAAAGTCGTAGTACAAACCGTCTATCTTCCAGAGATCCGCGGCATCCCGCAACGTCCTGTTTGTCCCGCAGACTGTGCCATTCACTGCACCGCTGCAAGGACTGCATGTGGGCTCTTGCTGGTCGATGTCCAGGTGCGCAGGCTCCTCAAAACGAAGGTCCACGCCCAGGAAGCCAAGGCAAACAATGGCTACCAAGACCGCAACAGCGCCATTGCGATGAAGATGTTCCTGCATCTGCCCTGCAGCTGGGCGCGCTTGTGAGGCGCTGCGCTGCCGGGCAGCGGGGTTGGGGGCGCGATGATGAGGTCGAGGCTCGATATCGCGACCTCCCGCCCCCCCTCGTCCTTGCCTAGAGCCAATGGCAACACAGGTCGTGCTGTGCGAACACTTCGAAGCTCCGAACACATGAGAGTTGAGAAGCACAAGCGATCACATGTTTGAACGCACTTAGACTGCGTCTTCTGACTCCGGAAGCTCCATGTTGCCGTGGACCGTGGGCCTCAGGGTCGTGACGCCCTCCCAGGCAGTGGACTCCTCTGCGATCATCACCACACCTGTCCATCACTGGAGCTTTCAGATGCAGAACCATGACCCTTCCCTTGTCCCCTTTCGTCTGAGGCCGCCTGGCCAGAACTGCTTCATGGACTTGTTCAGCTCGCGCAGAAGTGACACGGCTTCCAAGTTGCTGTCACCGCCATGCTCGTTTCGAACCCACTCGTGATCGGCTTTACCAAAGTTTCGGTAAATCCTCAGCATGCCGGGCCATCGCACTTTGCGCAGCCATGTAATTACTGATGCGTCTCCCGTCTATCCTAGCCTGTCACAATACCCGGTGCCAAGCATCATGGCCGAAACAGCATCGCACCGGAAGCCATCGATGTGATAGCCTGATTTCTGGTCGAGATTCAGTCTGGGGTTCAAATCACTCGCTTTGCAAAGCCTCGACCTCCAGAAACATCTCAAATCCCTCCTTGCATGCTCTGCGGCGCTCGGCCCAGAACAGCGCAGAGCCCACGAGGAAGCTGCGCACCTGGAGCTGCGACTTCCCATCTTCGCCGGGGCTCACGTGCAAGGGGTCTGGACTGGGCGGTCTGCAATGTTTCGGAACCCGAGCCCAGACGAAGCCAATCTCAATCACAGCTTCCGAAAGAAGCCGGTGAATCAGTTTGCGAAGCAGCCGCCACCGAGAAAGCCCACTGAAACCACACGGGCGAGTAGCAAGCCGGCAGCTTCCCTTACATCCAGACAGACACTGACGCGTCCGTTCAACGCCCCGCACCTCGTTCTTCCGGAAGTTGAAGATTTTGGTTCCCCATTGCCTAGCACGCTGCTTCGGATTCTTGAGCTTCCAGGAGCTTCGCCAAAGCGTGCCGAGCAGGACCCAAATCGAACGACGCATGCTGGCCCTAATTATCCCTATAAATCCGAAAAGAGTCCCCAACCCTTATTCTCGTGCATGTTTGGCTCATGATGTCTGTGCGCCCCAGGAAACAATGGCCTCTGTTCTCCTTCGCGTGGGTCCTGCGATGGCAAAAATGCATATTATGGATGACGCAGGCTTGCTGTTGAATGCGGACCGCATCTCTGCACCTCGTACTCGTACGTTGGTGTGCCGTCAAAGTCGCCAAAACTACCTGAATGAAGGGCCGTCGGAGAAGTTTGGAGCGACCACACTTGGCAGCCCCAGCATGGACATAGCGAGCCCCAAACTTCTTGCAGGTGGGCTGCAGGCGTCCCTGCAAAAGTGCGCAGGAACGAAGTCCATAATTACGCCAAGGCCTGCCTGTCAAGTGCAAGGCCTGGGGCCTAGTACTCTCCCCTTGTAAACTAAGTACTGTAAACCTCGCCATAGGTCATATCTGCAAACGTCGCAGGCGATGCAGGCAAGCCTGTGACGGTTTCTACCTACTGATGGGCCATGATGGGTCGGCCTTATGCAGCTCATTGATGAGGTGCTTCAAATCGTCGGGCGAGCCCATAAGCGAAAAAGAGCTGTAGTACCTCAAGAGGCGGGGAGGACACGGCCCTGAAGGGCCCTGAAGAAGTCAACGGCAGCCCGCAGAATCTCGGGCCGGTGCCCTGAGACCTGGTAGCCCCAGGAGCCGAGGAAGGGGTGATGCGCCAGAGCCATGAGCTCGACCCAATTGAAGTTCAGAGCCTTCGACAAGGCTCTTCCAAGGCTTTAAGGCTCCGGCTGCGAAGCTACGTATCTGACTCCCCGCTTTGAGGACCCGTCCTTGACGTGGTCAATGAGGGGCTGCGTGAGCTCCCTGTAGCCTTGGCTGCGGCGCTTCAAGGCGGGAAACCAGGGTCTAAGCCGTGCGGCTGCGAGACCAACTCTTCGCCGAGGGACTCAGTAGCTCCCCATCTGCACCACGCCGCCACGAGGGCAAGTGCACCTCGAATTTCTGGCAAGAACTTTCAGAACGCGACAAAAAGGATTCCTGTACTTTTTTCCAGTGGCCTCGTAGATGGCCATCGGCTGCAGCAAGGCTGTGTTTAGGCGACCTCGCTCCTCACGAGCCAGCATCCACGCCTCGTCGCCTGGGCAGCTTCTTCGGGTAGGCGTTAGGGTTAAGGGTTGAGCTCCAAACCTCTTCAACTCTCACCGCACGTCTGGGGTCCGGGCCCCACTCAAACGGCTCTGGTCGGTAGTTGTCGTCACAAGCACTGACCACAGAGGCGTTGAAGGTCTCGGGCGTCGAATGACATGCTGCTTGCCAGATGATGCAGAGGCTCTTGACAAAAAAGGGTACCCGCATCTCCATTTCTCGGCCCAGGGCCCTGGCCCCCCTAGACGAGCCAAAAAGTCTTCGTTGGATGCCGCCGAAGGCACAGGGCTCTGGTGCAGGTCGCTGGGCTTCTCAAACTCTTGCGCAAAGGGGTCCATCTTCACCTGGGATTCTGGGATTGCAGCATGCAGCGTCTTTCTGCAAAGCTCCCAAAGCCCAGTCTTACACTTACACATGGAATTTAGAACAGATCTTGCAAGGCCCAAGTCGCGATGTCCAGGCCCGCCCCAGTATGAATCTTGAAGCCGTACCTGAGATCCGGCGCCGAATTCGAAGATTTAGAACTGATCTGAAAGCAAAGCCACCTGGCCAAGTATCTCCAACCTCAAGCTGTACTACGCTCGCTTCTTCCACGCTGCGTACTTCCAAAAGGCACGTGCGACAAGTCAGGGCCGAAAGGAACCTGAGGCACGTTTCAGCTTTTTTGACAGCATCTACGAGGCCCTCTGGCATGCAAAGGAAAGCTCCTGGGCACGTTTCAACCAAGCAGCAAAGATTTCCCAAAGGCCGGAGAAGCCCCCACCTTTGCCGGAGGTCAAGGGCCACTTTGCGGCTAAGGCGGCCAAGGGGAGTCAGGCCCAGCCTTCCGCTCTGTGTCGCCGTGCCATCGGCGACGCTCGGCCATCCCAGGTGTTCCAATCTCCTGGCGGTCACACATGGCACGGGGCCTCATGGCGCCACCGCGAGAGCATCGAGGTACGACGATTGGGACAACCCACAACAGTCCTACGACGCTGACGAATTGGGCCCTCGGTGCCCAGGTCGCAAACCGCAGGCCGCATACGCCACCTGATCACCGACTTCGACTGCTGCATGATGCTGCTTTTGCGGTCGAACTGCCACAGACCTTTGGCCAAAGGATTGCTGCCACGGCTCCGGCCGTGACTGCATGACAGCCCAGAGCATCGGCAATCGTAGGAAAGCTGCCCTGCTGCAGCTGCTCGATCTCCACCTGCTCCCACACTCCCGAACCCCACGGCAAAGCACCGCATTGTTTAGGATATCTTGGATGCTTCTGCTTCAGATTCAGTGCATGTTGGAAGATGCTGGATATTGAACTACTGGCATGAGGCAGGTTGTAAGCCATGCCCACACGTGTGAGAAAACCTTGTAGCCACCTCGGCAAGCAAGAAGCCGATGTAGCCAAAGCAGTCGTGGAGGATCTGCTCTCCCTCCTGCTCCGAACCCAATAGATCAGTGGATCCACTCATCCATCTCAGGCTCAAACTGACATCGCATGGAAACATGCCAGCACAGGGGCACCACCCACACTGCGGCAAAGGGTTGGACTGCCACCACAATGTGAGTCGCATGCACACCCAGGTTTATCTTTATCCCAGGGCGATGAGCGAGCAGACAGCTAAGCAGAAAGCCCGCACAAACTTACGTAAGCTGCAGTGGCCTCTCTGACGGGAGTTGTACCTCAGTCAGATAAAGATTAAAAGCAGCCGATGTGCTGCAGCGGCCGTGTTGAAGGGAATTTACCCTCAATCAGGGCTTCCTGATGGGCTTTTGCCTCAATCAGGAAAAAGGAGCAAAATGTTCTTCGAGCTAATGCAAAGACCCAGCTCAACGATGCAGTCTACAGGTCCTGGTGGCCCCTGACTTCCTGCATGAAGTGCACAGCATCGCTTTCCGACTCATGGCGTGCCGGCTCGGCGTCCGTGCCAAAAGCCGCCACCGTTTCCTGGCTCTGCCCATAATAACCGTTCCGGCGAAAGCGCGGGAAAAAGCGCCGGAACGGTTTCCAGGGAAACCATTTCCTCAGCTGTCGCAGGTGTAGAGCGCGGAAGGTCTTGATCCCAAAAGGCTCCAATCCTAAACCAGACCAGACCACAGAAGGAAAGGCTAAGGCAGCCTAAATTATCCCAGATCCCTAGTCCAACTTTCTGGAGCCTACTGTATCTGCATCCCCTGGGATCCGTACAACACCAGAAGCACCCCGAAAAGGAAAAGTGAAAGGGAGGCAAGCTTCTTGCTGCATGGAAAATCCATGACGTCCGTGGTGTTCACCACCTGCACGCCGTCGAGTGCCGCAAACGCCTCGAGGCGACGGGAATCTTCCACTGGCGGTTCAATGGCCTTCTCGAGGGCACATCTTCGTTGGTGAGATGAATCTGCGGGTATTCTACCACGAGTGTCTTTGAAGCAAGCCAAAGTGCAGAAACTCTAACGCTAACGCTTATTACCCATAGCAACCCGAGAAGTGTACCTTTTGGCGATCAGCGTCACTTTGCCCCTGTCTTCCCGATATGAACCCGACCCTGAGCTCTCCAAGGCATCTGCCTCCGTTTGGGGAGAGATGCCAGCTGTCGCATCGCCGACCACCACGACCTCACGATCGGCAGTGCTTAGGCAGCTTGAGTGGGCTTCCAGGCTTCCTCCCTGCCTTCTTTTGAGTGGCCGTCTAAGGTGTCAGGGTCAAGGCTCTCGCGCTGCATGTGGGTGTTGGGTTGGGGGGCGTGCGATCCACTTACAAGTAGTGGGTGAAAGATCGTGGACGTTGGAAACCCATGACATGATTGCCTTGTATCCTCGGGTGACGGCATCGCGGACCGTGTAATCCACAACGACATCCGTGGCGATGCCGGCGATGAAAAGCGTCTCGATCCCCTTCCCCTGGAGCACGTCATCCAGGGGCGTCTACAAGTTGTTGGTGTTGTCCGCAAAGGCACTGTAGGCGTCCACGAACTTGTTGTTTCCTTTCTGGATTAGCTCCGATGGTATGTCCAACTCCAGGTCGCTGTCCCCGTCAAACTCACAGTGATCCGTCCACATCCGCTGTGTTGTGTTGAAGCATTGCGCTGGAGTTGCATTGCAGATGGTGCATGCCGGATTCCCTGTGATGATGCTGTCGCTGGCGTTGTACATGAAGCCGTTGCCGTCTCCGGGGCAAAGAACCTCGGAGCAGTTGAACTCCGAGGGGTTCAGGAAGTAGCTGGGGCAGCAGGAAGCATCCTGGATGTTCCCGTCGGCGGCCGCCACACACGTGATGGGCAACTCACCCTTTCCTAAGGTCAGGTCAGCAAAGGGAGGGAGACCATGGACGCTTGCGAAGGAGATGTGTCCTGGCGGATGAAAGTCTTGGGACCTCACAACCAAGTCGAAGAGACATGCTTTGTCGTCGTAGATCTGCTGGATCTTCTCCAGAATCTGGTCAGAGCCGCTGACTCCCAGGGAACCATTGGGCAAGAAGCAATCCTGCACATCCACGATGAGAAACGCGGCCTTGCCCTTGCCGCCAATATTGACAGCAGAGGCGGCTCCAAGAAGCATCGCCCCTACGGGGAGCAGCGCAAACATGGCGACTACTGAAGACAGATCGTAAGGGAATCTAGAACTTGGCCTTGCAAAGTCAGGCTGGCGCAGCAGATTCAAGCATGTAGCTTTCTCTGCCTTCCAAGCGTGCGTCAGCAGAGACATGCATACACGTTGGCAGTTACCGGGCTAGTAGCAATCCTGAGCCCCTTCAAACCCCCAACGCAAGGACACACCACCGAAACGACAGCGAGTTGCGAGCTATGGGCACCATGTGCAAGGTGGCCGATAAACCTTGGGTCCGGAAGAGCTCGGAAAGGACTCTGAAAGGACGCAACTTGCATGCGTCAGGCATGTGTGCCTCGAGGGCAGCGACTACGCTGCTGAGGCTCGCATGCACGACTACATGCTTGAAAGAAAAGTGGGAAGAGTTCAAGGACTGTTGGGAGCTTGTGGCGAACGGCGTGAACGGTTGCTGCAGCAGCACCGAACTGGAGCGTCGAAATCGCTTTGGGGCCCCCGAAATGCCTCGCTGATTGTCTACTTTCAGGCCAAGCCCATGCGAATCGAGCACCAGTCATGGTTTGGGTCCGTCGTCGAGGCAAGTTCCGGCCAACGCAGGGCAAGTAGTCACGTTCAACCACACTTTCTGGTTGAGGACAAGCCTCAATGCGAACCGCCTCGTTTGCAGGAAATTTCAAAGTTGTTTTCAGAACGCGCCACGGGGTCACACAGGCTCGATTTGCCTGACACTTAATGCTTGGCGTCCAATTCTCGCTTCTCTACCATCCCAGCCAGCTTGGTGCCAAGTACAGAGCCAGTCATCTGCACAGGCGTATTTGCCGCTGAGCCACTCAGGCGCAGCGTCTTAGTCTTGGACAGCGAGGAGACCGCAACCCCCACACGACCCTGAAGTTGCCTGCAGGGAACCCAAACCGACGATATTTTGGGAGATGAGGGCTCACAGACGATCCTCCGCGGGGGCGATCACGTAGTATCTGGGCAAGTGGAGGACCTCGGCATGCGGTCTCTTGCGATCCCGGCAGGAGTTGAAGCCCGGAAAAGCAGTTTGTTACGCTGCGGGCTTCTGGCAACCCTAAACCCTATAAGGCCCTATAACCCTCCCTAAACCGCTGGGCTCTGAATGACTGAAACCCTAAACCCCCAAACCCCCAAACCCTGGAATTCCACCGCTTCTGTGGAAGCCTCCTGGGGACCGGGCCCCGCCCACCGGTGCTCCACCGGCGCCGTCATCGGGCGGCAGCCAGTCTGCCTTAAGGGCTTCGTGTGCACTACGTTAGCTCGATGAGGGGCTCCGGGGATTTCAGGGTGTAGGGTTGAGAGGTCTCCGGGTTCGACCCAGATTGCGGCTCTCAGTTGGCAAGCAGGCCACTGGCAACACAGGCCTCGCCCGGCCTCGCCCTTAGGCGGACGGACAACATTCTGAAGCCTGGCCGTGTTGCAGGCAGCCGCACCACAGCTTCGTAAAGCCATGCGCAGCGGCGGACCAGTGGAATCGGCCTCAAGGTTGGGCACGGGAAAAATTCAATTCGAAGCCTGCCGAGCCTCTCAACTTCGATCGCCGCAAAGTGCACGCGCACGCGACGGAAGCATAACAAGGCAACCGCAACGCAGGACTATGATGGCTGCCAGATGGTGTTGCTGCCGTCACTGCCACGGCTGCAGCCGGTGTGCTTGGATTCCTCGTCCAGCAGCAGCTGCAGTTTGACTTCTTTCTTCTCCGCCTGACATGGGGGCTGGCATCCAGCAAGGCAGCTTACTTTTAACTGACGCCTTTGGAGTTTCATTGAACATACAGGGTATCCGGTCGGGGATGTAACTCAGTGCAGCTCCGGCCTCCCAATCTCTTTCAAGGGCTTGATGCCAGATGCGAAAGACATACCTCGCTCTGTGACCGTTTCTCCCCTCGCGAAATCAATCGTGTTCGTCCCCAGCTGCAGCACATTCGCAGACCGCCCTCCACATCCCGTACTTTCGCAGTATGCTCGCCAAGGGCACAGATCGGAGCCACTGTCGTCGCTATGGGCCAGCCTGGACCGAGGAAGTCTCCACGGTAAGCTCATGACCGCAAGTGCCTTTGTTTGGTATTCTGGTCCGCCCTGCCAAAACGATTCCATCTCAACAAACATGGTTCAACCCTCTCTCTTTCCTTCTGCTATCTTAAACCATAATTCCGTGCACAAACCACCCAACCACGCAACTGTAAGCCTAAGACTCCTACACCGCTGGGCCACAAAGAAAATGCAATCTTAAGCCGTACGCCGTACGCCAACCCTAAGCCCGAATCGCGGACGCAAACCTTGCCCCCGGGCCTCCAAAACCCAAGTCCCCAAGCAGAAATCCCGTGCACAAATCTTGAATCACCTCCAAGCCCCAAGCCCCTGACAAACCGTGCACAGGATACACTCCTAAAGGAGTCCTAAACCCACCCATCCTCCCCCCAAAGTCTGAAATCGTCGTGTCGTCATACTGGTACAGCACTATCCTAAACGTGGTGTTCCTTTTCATCCTGGTTTCCGGTCCCGACATAGAAAAGATGGCCCTTATTGAATATGCACGCCTAATGGTGTGCGTCCCTGCACGTGCTGATTCGTTCTCTATTCCTTGTCTGTTCAAGTTCTATGTTGATTTTCCTCGGAGACAGCAATATCGAAAAATAGACACAGTACCCGAAGAACAAAACCATCCAAACGCGTTGACCAAGTCACCGAGCAACCCAATTCGAAGTGCAAACTGCCGTCAGACCCAGCAGACACTCCACCCTTGCATGTCGGTCGAAACTCACAGCTGCACTCGTCTCTTCTGTGGATGCCTGTGGCAGCCCAGGACACTTCTAGGCTGCGCATGGTGCGCCGTGTGCAGCGCAGAGACCGCCTCCTCGCAGGAACCATGTGAAAGGATGCTAGCCGCTGCTGGGCGCTACTAGCCCAAAGTCTCACGAAGCGATGCAATGACCATAATCCATAGCATGCTGCAGTGAAATACTAAATTAACAGATTAACACGACACCCAAGTTTCGAAATGGAAGGAGCTACTGTCGACAAATCCGCCTCGTCCAGGGACGCACCGGAGGGCCAGTTTGCAGGGTCCACAGCTACCGGCGTCATGGCTCAGTGGCCCACAGCTCTAAACAGAGGCTTCCTGGCAAGTCTATAGGTTGGGCTCACGCTAGGGCACGGCGGGGCGCGCGCAGCGCCAGCTGCTGGATGCTTAAATGTGCATCACGTTGCACCAAAGCATGATGTTCATGGGGGACTGGGGCTGACGACATGACTGGCTGCAGCTCGAGCTTTACAGCTGGCATGAGCGCGTTCAGCGAGAAAGCAGGATCAGAATCAAGGAAACGTCGACGAAAACTCTTATGCGCTCTTCAGAACCTGAGCCGTACCGTACCAACTTTCCAAATTAAGCTGGTACCTCGCGTTCTTCGGGGCTTCCGCGCCTCCGAAGCTCGCGTCTGCTCCTCTTGCACCTGCATGCGGCACGATCAGAAGCCATAAGGATGTAGGGTTTAGGGTTTAGGGTTATAGGGTTTAGGGTTATCAGAAGCCAGACCGCAAACTAATTCTTTTGGCCCTGCGACATCGGCATGAACATGAGCAGCATCATGATCGCGAAGAAGAGAATCAACGTGATAATCATCAATGCCATCATGCACATCATCGTCATCAGATGGCGCAGGATTTCGGAGTTGAGGGAATACCGCCGCGAAACCCTAAACATGACCGAAAGTTTGTCGAGCTGTTGTTGCTTCGATAGAGGCCAGGAGAATACCTTCAAGAACCTGGACATTGAGATCCCAAGCCCTTAAACCCGGACACTTCCTTCCATGATTTCCCGCACACCCTCTGCCCCCCCCCCCCNNAAAAAAAAAAAAAAAGCACACCCTCAACGCCCGAGACTCTCAGCCTGCTGAGGACTCTTAGCCGAGCCTCGGCCTGGCTTTCTCGGAGCTTCTCCTGAAGATGCCGCAGCGTCGCCTTCTCAAAACCGAGCACTCAGAAGCTAAAAGCCTGCTAAGGCTAAGGCTGAGGCTAAGGAGCCTTTCCCACAGAGCGAAGTCTCGGAAGACTCTGGGAAGTCACGGAAAAAAGGGGGGCCTCTGCGTTCGCCAGCGCCTCCGCGGTCTGCTCGAGCTTCTCGTCGGCCTCTCTCGGGGACATCAGAGGCCACCGCCGTCACCGTCGCCGCCGCAAGCCAAACATATATATATATATATATATATACATATATATATATATATACTGTGAGCAGTACAAAGTGGTGACAGTTTTGTGCTTGTGCTTCGAAAGAGTTCGACCTCTGTCGGAGACGTCTACAACATTTTTGCCCGGTGCCCTCCAAGCACCCAGAGCCCAGAGCCTCCTCCATCGCTGCGGCGGACTCTGCTGCGCCTTCTGCTCGGGCTGCCTTGACCGGCGACCCACGACCCCTGAAATTTTCTGCTGCAGCTTGCAGTCAAGAAGTCGCTATGCCACACTGGCCTTACACACGAGATGTCCTAATAGAATTCAAGCCCTCCAACAGTCCCAGATCCAGGATGTGCCTCCACTGCATCGACGAGCAGGTCGGCCTGATCTTCGGCCTCCCGGGAGGGACGCAGCAAAGCCGAAGGGGCAACTGGCCTTCAGCTGACTGCAATCGTGCTGCGCGCTTCCATGTTGATGTTGCACGTTGCCTTGTTTACATGGCAGAGTAGGCCAATGTTTGAAGGAATGTACCCGGGAAATGCTCCGGCCGAACTCTCTACGCTTGCCGACGCCTGTGATGCAACCGTGCCGCCTGACTACGTAGCTTTTTGTGCTGCCAAGCTAGTGGCACGACTCCTACCATGAGCCTCTTTCCGGAGAGCTTTCAACTTGTTCTCCAGCTTGGTCATAGACACCTGGGTAACGGTAACCGCCGAAGAGCTTGGCTGAAGACCTAGTCATCCTCTTGTCGCTGCGCCTTGAGCGAGGCGTTCTCCTTCGTCAGGGCATCCGCCTTCACGTGGAGTTCTGCCACGGCCTGTCCGGATTCCGGATGCCGATTGCAGGATCCAGAACGATTGTGACCGACTTGCGCACAGAAAGAGCTCTTCTAAGCAGCCCTTCGAGTGGCTACACTTAGCTCAGCACCAGAGGCGAATGACCGGATTTGTTTCTGGTGGAGGTGAAAATACCCAACCAAACCACGAAACCCAACGCTAAGTCATCATGCGCTGTCTGCCTCCTCCCGGGCCTCAATTAAATCCTTCTACAATGTGCGTACCTCAACCCCAGGCGCTAGACTCCCCAAACGCCCCCAGACCACATCCCTGTGTTTCAGGCCTGCTCCCGATCACCCGTGAGGCGCTCCTCGAGCTCTTCCAGCTCAGCGCGGGCCGCCTCCGATTTCGTGTTTTTTGCTCCGCATCCATGGCCGACACTATGATTCCAGTTCCGGTCATGACTTATGACAGAGACTTCCGCTTCGCGTACGGTTTCTTGGAAATCACCAGCATTAGCACCATTAGCATCACCTTCGGGCTCAGCTCGGTCGGAAATATGCAGTCTTGGCGCCGCAGTGCCTGCTGAGACGCCATCGCCTGCCTGGAACGCTGCTCCTTCTCGTCAGCCTTGCAATGCGTTGCAGAGCACCAACTAAAAGCAAGCAGGATGCGTGTGATGCGATACGACACCAAACAAGCAGCCCCATGTTCCCGGTGCTCTCTTTAAGGTCCAACCTCCGTAACTCCGACAGCGCTCGAGGCATCCTACGTCGAATCTCCGATGGCTGACGGAGGCCTCTTTCCGAAGGTTTGCCAACTTCTGCTCCAGCGCAGAGCAGGAGGCCTGCAGACAGTTGAAGTGCTCGAATTGTGAAATTGCTGTTTCACAGCGAAGGTGGATGCTGCCGTTCCTGAACAAACTGAGCAGTAGCGACATCACTTCGGGTTGAGGATCAGTTTGGGAAGCACGGCTTCAGAAGCCGAGACTCCTCCCGAAAAAAACATGATCTATCATGATCTCTCGTGATCTCCCAACCGCACCTTCAATGACTCGTTCTCTTCAGCCATGGCGTCTGCATCCACAAGCAAGCTCTTCACGGCCTGGAAAATCTGATGCCTTCTTAGAGAAGGGGTGCCGAATCTCGACCAGCAGTAACAAAAAAACACAAGGTCTCCCTCCCGTAAGCTCCGAATTCCGGCAATCCCAAGCCACACACGCCCGGAAAGGCAAGGCTGCCCCAAAAGCTATGCCCAAGCGAGGTGCTCGATCATGATCGAGCTGGAGTCGCTTTTCTGCCTGCGACGTGGGCCGCAGGGGTGTGGCTCTAGTCGGCTCTTCGCCGACTAGTCGCCGGGCCTTCCCGGCGGCCGCCAACTCTTCCTCGGCTTCGGCTTTGGCGGCCTAGAAAGCGGCCGTGCTCGCGAGAGAGTCCAAGTGCATGCTGGCATGCAACAGTGTGGAACGAGATGGCGCTCTACAAGTAAGAGAGCATCCCTCCCAAGTCTCCATGCCAGCGCCTTCTCCGCCTCCAATGCAGAGGTCAGCTGCTGTAATCTTTCGTCGGCCTTTCCGGCACAAGACGCACTGGTTGGTCCAAAAATACGAGTTGAGAGCGTCCAATCCCTTCCGATCTGAACAACAGCTCAATCTTGCTTTTGCGGGTGTGTCATACAGGTAGGCTTGCAAGAATTACAACTGAGCGAAACATCTCGGTACCAGCCGGCAGTGCTGACAAAGGCAAGGCAATCAGACCTGTGTTGTTTGCAGGTGCCGGGAAAGTGCTTCTAATTGGATTGCGAAGGCTTTTCAGTTTCAGAAAGACCCACCACGTTTTAACGTTCCTCCACGTCACACCGGTGGCTCAACATTGAAAGTAACCGTGTCCCACCCAAGAACACGGGCGAGCAAAGCCACAAAAAGGCCCAAAAAATACCCCTGTGCGACCAGCTACCGCACCAAGAGCTTTCCCGGCAAGCCTCCTTCTGAGCCGAGGAAACCTT